ATGGATTTCTTTTGAACCATATGATAGAAGTGCCATAAGCAAGATATTTAAACTTGAGAATTCATCTCTCATTCCTATATGTGATTCATTTGCTTAATTTTGACTGGAATCAGCAAACACACTCACGCACATCATCGAAACACTATGCGGATGAAATGAGTAGACCCCTATCTCCTATGTCACTTCCCGCACCTAAGCAACTCAAGTTTACACCTGGGATAGTAAATGGATCAATCAGTGAGTCAGCATCATTCCTAGACCATACACGAAAGGTGGTTTTCCTACTTGCTGCTATATTTTTTATGTGGCTTTTCTGCTTGTTTAATAAGTTGAAGTGTCAGTGGATACAGATGGTACCTGTTGGACAGTTGTCAATAAAAAAACTAGCAGCCGTAGGTCAAAGTGGGAAACTTTGGCGGTGGAAAAGGAGTCATCATCAGTGGCTACTTCAGTTCAAGTGGAAGTGGCAGAAGCCCTGGAAACTCTCAGAATGGATTAAGCACAGCGATGAGACAATCATGAGATCAAGGCCTCGCCGACATGCTCTGGTTGATATTATATGACAACATCTATGCACTAGCTTTCTTTATCCTGTACATATATGACAGCCATGTATGGTCTGACACAAAGCAGGGCAAGGTCACGAGTTATTGCAGGTAATCATTTGACTGGAATCTTGTTGACTCAATATCAGAAAACAGAGTTCATTTCTGCAGCAAAGCCTAAGTTCATTGAATTACAGTAACAAGTCCTAACTTACATTCAATTGACAAATTTTATCGGCCATGCTAAAATTTCTCTACCAAGCCAATTTGTCTTGCAGCATATCTTCTTCTTTCACGAATGAAGTTTCGTTTCTAAATATTCAGTTTCTTTCTTGCCAGAGGTGCAGGCTTGTTTGTAAATAGGCAAGAGAAGCTTGGTGTTGTTTTTGTCCTTAAGGCTAACACTTCGGCGAGATGGATAAATTTTCTGCATTGAAGCAACTTGTCGGACTGGAT